TCAGTATTAATATATTTATAAGGCAAGTTAAAGTATGCTTTTCTTAATTTTATCTTCACATTTGTAACCATCTAATTATATTTAAATAAAAGATCGATATTTTTATATAGATTGTTAACATAATTTTATTAATAATAAGACTTGGTAAATAAATTAAGCATAAATAAGTACATAAATAAAACTATAAAAACTATGAGAATTTAATATGACGGCATCGGAACTGTATTTGCATAGAATTGCAGGGCAAAATTAATGATTTTCATAAGATCCGCACTGACTTTGGCGCTGTTCTTTGCCATCATGTTGTTCACGGCGTCGATTGCATTTTTATCGCTGAACGCTCTCTCGAACACTCGGCCTCCTAGATCGACAGCAACTCTACCCTGTTTAAAAAGGAATAACAATAGCATTTCATTGGTAACGGTCATTTGATGAAAGTGAATTACTCCATTACTCCATACACAAGTGCAACGATAATATATCGAAATGACCCCACATACAATACGAGCAAATAAATTTCAATTGTGAATGTATTAAAAGTATTGTTGATTCGATAAATGATATCATAAAAAAAAACGATAAATTTTAGTTACATTGCATTTAATTTTATTAACAAATACAGTTGGTGTGGTGAAAGTCAGAGAGCTGAGCATTTTTTTTTTAATTGAAGTAAAGCATTTATTTTAAGATTTTTTAGATTTTACCAGCTTACAGGGTCTACAACGTTTCGTCATGGAAATTCTTTATTTTTCTTTTCAGTAAAAGAAGAAATGGGTTGAGGCATGAAATTTTTTTTTCTATATTTGGAATCTGTGGATACGGCTCTATGACTATAATTTTCTTCCTAGTCTCGAAAAATCATTTTTGAGAGTGCTACACCGTTTTGAAAACCGCCGGAACCAAAACGGATTTTTGACCTTGAAGAGAGCACGTGACGTCACTATACTGTAGTGGATAATTAATACCTGCGGACACTGCAGTTGATGAAAGCTAATTACTGTTTCCGTAGTTATTGGAAATTGCACTTCAATTTTCAAAATGTCGACTTCTAGAGCGAGCTATCGTTGACGTTATATGCTTAATAATAATAGAAAGGCGAGATTCAAAACGTGCCTAACAATAAAGATGGAATTCACCATGCTGCACATTGAACGCTATTTTAAGACAGTAAGTAAATTGGTCGATGTCCTGTCAAAGTGCGTATGGCACTGCGTGCTGAGGAAGACTAAAGAGTTCGAAATTGCAATCCACGTCGTACAATTTCGACAGTTGACTAACTAAGATCTTAATGATATACGATACCATCAAATCGAAATGTTGAACATCAATGAATTCAATAATTAGTGGCAAATTTGTCTGTAGAAATGGCGTTCGCCAGATCATCTGCAGTTATTTGTTTATACAATATTTCTTTACTAATTGTAAAATAAAAACGAACATACCGTGATTGTTCCAAATTGTGGAAGAACGTTGAGAGAAGTCAACTGTTTTGTGGAATTGTTGTATGAGAACCTCCAGCTGATTGTGGTATTATCTACTGAAATTCTGAAAAATGGTATAAATTTGACTTGGAATGGGTCAGGATGTAATTTTGTTACAGCAGGTCAAGTATTAAAAATAAAAGCTAATATAAACAAGCAAATTATAAGATGAGTAGATACCCAGAATAAAACTTTGTTTGACAATATTTATCTAAAACCTCATTTACGTTTATCCAAATTCAAAAATTTTGTACAAATTAATCTCGCCACTTGTAGATCTGGTATTGTGTTGATGTGCCAATGAAAACACCAGAAAGGTACGAAAAGTCATACAACAGTGATAAGAAACATACCTAAATTAAATGTTAATCTGTTGACGAACAAAATCACTGCGATTTATTTGCACAGGCATAGATATCCACTAGTATGACTTCTATTACCCGTTCATGAGTACGTGTACAAATTAAATTCTACATATATATTAAATATCGACTCGTAATAAATATGAACTTACTCGGTAAACCTCAGTCCGAAATTAACAATGAAAGCGTCGATTGCAACTTCGTTAATGGTAGCCGTCAATTTATTCATACTCAGAAGACCGAATGCGTCTCCAACGGCTTCGTTGACCGTCAGGTCTTCTAGAGATATGGAAGATTGTCCGGAAAGGGAAGCTGATCCAATGAAGACCTTTTGTCTAAAATAATTGTAAACAAAAGTTTTAATTATTTAAATATGTATATTAAAAGTCCATATTAGACTTATGGAAAGTGTAAATAAATTCATACTGTGTAACATATCTTATCACTTGATTATGGGAATGGGGAACTAATACAATTTCTTGCGACGGAAATGCGTTACGGGGAGTAGGGAGAGAGAGAGAAACGCGTGCTGTTCAATCTTTAATTGATGCTACCTAAAACTTAAAACTTTTGGGTGTTTCATTCCCACCAGCCATTAATACTGGTGGGCGGGCAGTCCCTCCGGAGTACGCCGGAAGGTAGGATGGAAGGCCCTCTTCAGCCTTTTTTCAGGAATCGTNCTTAAAAAAAATCTTTTCGGGTTACGCTCTGGATTATTAACGTACATGTTCTTCACATTCGTGCAGTCTATTTCAGTCAGGGACATAACTACAGGTAGGCCTTGGTTATGCAACGAAAATTCTGGCTAGCTCACATTGAATATTAAAAAGAAATTAAAAGTGTAATATTCAACTTCACACAATCCAAGACACTGCTTAATTCATAATTATGCGGCGTTTTTATTTAATGACGAAAAATTTATTTTACTTTGTCCAAACGGTGATATTTTGCGATCTACCTCTCCATAAACATGATTCATAAATGACCTACCTACCAAAGAAAATTTCACTTTGTGTTCAAGAAGTGACGACTCGCATATGCACCAGGGGAGAAATATAAGCATGCATTCTGAGACATTCGTTTCATTCCCTGTCTAAATGCGTAAAATATCAATATTGTCTGTCGAGTTATGTGAAATTATATATTCTAGGCACCGATACCGTTATTTTAAGATTGCCTGTGCATCATCAACATAGTCTGTACGAAGTAATGTGATCATTACTAACTGCAGTGAGCAATATTGAATATTCAATTCGTCACTTGAAATATACAAAAGTGGATATTTTACCATAGACTACCGATGCATCGGAAGTGTCATAACGAAAACATAAGTAAATAGTAAATTTTTTCAGATGCGGAAGTGGAAGTGTAATGATTTTAGGTGACTCATTAATGCAGTAGTCGTGCGCCCTCTCGCGAATATTTGTTACAAATTTTGTCGTTATTATCACCAAAATAATTTGAATTGGAACTTCCTTTTTGGTCTTCAAAATTGCACTTTTAACTCACAATTTACACCACTGACCAAACCCTATTAAAGTAGTAAACTAATAAGAGAATAAAATTTGGAATCAAAATACGAAATACTAGTAAGTAGATACGTTCACGATGTTACAGAAGGTACCTTCACAATATGCAGCATTGCAACGAGCAATTCCATTTAAACTGTGTTTTGAAAACGATCAAGTTCAGCCGACAGATAAAAGTAATAAATTTTTATGACTTGTTGTATTGTTCCGAAAAAGATGAGAAATAGGATTTTGTTAATTTCCGATAAACTTCCGTTATATAAAAATGCGGAACCAGATGCAGAAGCGGATGTGAAAACGAATGCGGAACTTCCGTAATTGCGGAAGCGGAAGCATACAGCAACACTACTATAGACCTAGGAATATAAAACAATATAAAATTCTTTAATAGCAGTTTTAATAAAATCCGATAAATATTAAATGTAGATTTTTTAAATGATAGTGTTTCTAAATTCACATTTATTTATTAAACACAAGAGATAAGCTACGCCTGAGAATTGCAGGTTACATCGTCTTCACTGCAGTGCGGTAGACAAGAAAACTAGACATGGGGGTAACCATAGACACATATAATGGACGTGCCTTAGCCGTATGTCAACCGAGCGGCATGGCCTAGAGGTTTAGACCATTGCTTAGCATTCGGGAGGACGCCGGTTCGATTCCGGTCCAAGTTTTTCTGTGGTTTCATTGGATCACTTAAGCAAATGCTGGGGCAGTAATATTCCACAGATAATCTTTCATTCTCTTCTGTCTTCATTTCGTCCGTCTCATCTTTCTCACCCGAACCACCACCCACTCATTCCCACAATTTATAAAAAAAAGCTGAAGAAGGCCTTCCGCCCTACCTTCCGGCATAGTCCGGAGGGACTGCCCGCTCACCAGCATTACTGGTTGGTGGGAATGAAACACCCAAAAGTTTTTTTTTTGCCGTATGTCATTGTAATAATTTCCTGGCTCGAAAAGTGAGGGAGATGGCATATGGTTTCGGACTAACGCTATCTCTTTCATGACAGCTTACGCACTATCGTGAGAGAGATGGATATTGTTCGAAACTTCGTTGCATCTTAGAAAATACCACAAATGACGTGGTGAGCGCTATCTGTAGTACGATGCTACAATTTAGGATTACGTATGCTCCAACAAGGTCCATTTAAAAATATGGATATCTACTTGCTGAGACGAATCCCGGCGTAGCTCACCTCAACGTGATAGGCACGTTACCATAATCGAATACAATAATTCGAAGCGGTCTGTATTCTGTCGTAACTGCCAGATCTGTAGTACGATGCTACATTTTAGGATTACGTTTGTTCGTTCGTTCCATCTCTTTCTTTCGTTGTACCACAATTCTGGCCGCTAAGGCACGTCCATTAGTAGACATCGATGGGGGTAACAACCACACGACTTGCCTAATATACGGCGCAAGCCGTAATAGCGACACCAAGTTATTGCTTGTTCTGCGCGGTCGCTCACTGCGCAGCGTACGAACGTATTTTTAGACATTTTAGACTTATTCGTTTCGGATTAAGTTATTGCTCTAATATCTAGTATTCTTGGAAGCAGAGTAAACGTAATATATGACAATCTTAACATCCTTATGGTATATGCCCTATCTTATTTGGCTTTTGTGAAATGAGGTAATAATAAAAAGAATACGTACCCTATGTCGATGAATAATTGATGCACACGCAATCTTATAAAAATGCGATAATAGTTGTGCTTTTATATTGTCATTTTTATGGAACTCGAGGCGTCTTGAGTTTAAAACTTAAAATCTACAGCGATGTGGCCTACCCCTGGCTACGTCCCTGATTTCAAGAAGCAAACTGCTTACTGCTACTAGTTCATAAACATGTCTCGATCTTTTTAAAGTTACTTTTATTCTCTGTTTTTAACTTGAATTACCATTTATATAAAAATATATTAAAAAAAATACAAACAAAACAATATAGTATCAAAATAGTTCTTTCAAACTAAATTACAAAATTCCGTAACTATTGCGGTGTTTTTGGAAAAAACATCGTTAAACAAAAATAAAAAGTTAATTTGTTTAGTTTTGTAACATTTTCGGTGTTTTTATAATATCAACAAAACAGGCAGCAACAAATGGTCAATCACATACATAAATTAATAACTGTTAATTTTAATTGTATCACTAATAAAATGGTCAAAATAGTTTTAAATATTACTTACTTATTCTCGATGCTGAAACGGTTGTTAAAAATACTGACATAACAAAATAAGATATAATCTGCATTGTTGTTAATTGGTACTCTCCCGTTTGCTCAAAAATTGTCACACCAGCACCTTTTCGATTCAATTTACCGGAATAAAATCATTAACATTATCCTTTAACTCCTCAACTAAATGAAACGGGTCAGGTGGCGTATTATTATTGTTCTCGTTCGTGTCAAGATAATTGGTGATGTATTTATAGCTCAATTGTGTAGCATAATTGGTCATATGAAGTTTTAATTTCCCAATTAAACGAAAACCGTTGTTTCTGGCTTTCCCCTGGCTCATTCTTTGCATTTAATTAATTGCCAATATAAATTATATGTTTTTCGTCATGTTTACAAAATAAAATGGCTGTAGGTATCGCTATTATTGTGCCATAATGAATAATAAGGTATATTATTGAATCATTGGTTAATTGTTGGTAATATTATTTAATTTTTTTTATGTTTGTCATCGTGCTGCTCATTTACATTCTTTCTGATTGTTGGGCAATTGTTTGTTTTGATTGTTGCGAAATAATTTATGTAGGTGCCTACCGCATTTCTGTTTCTGATCGCTCTAAAAATCTAAAAAAATGTCATTTGTGGTTTTAGGTTTAGTTGAAACTGACCCAAGTAAGGCATTAACCTGTCGAGGTTTAATTATTTCTTTGTTGCATACTCTATTATAGTTAGTAGTTCTTTTCACTATGTTTAATTGATTGAAGTTAAATATTATCATGTCAAAGGTTTGTTTTATTTTAAATATTGAATTAAATAATATTCATCATCATAAGGTCGTCAGTCCTAAGACTGGTTGGACACGCACCTCCATTCTTTCCTACATTGAGCTAATCTTCGCATTTCCCCAAAACTAGGACATCCCACATCCTTAACTATTTGTGAACAGTAATCTAATCTATTACTATCCCTAAGTCCTGTTCCTGCCTCTAATGTCTCTGACTAGATCTTCATGCCTGAGAAAGTTATCCTACCAACCTATCTCGCCTATTCCTTATTGACTTCCATAGAGTTCTCTGTTCTCCTATTCTTTCTAATACCTCTTCATTTCTAACCTTCTCTATCCTCATCATTCGCATGTAACACCACATTTCGAACGTTTGTAACATTTTCTTTTGCACCACGCCCCCCGTCTATGTTTCGCACCCGTATATCGGCGAGCTCCAAACATCAACCTTTAACAATCCTTTTCGAATTTCTAAATTAAGCGTTCGCGAACATATTATTATTTGTTGGCTGCCACCATTTAAAAATGGCGCAGAATGCGTTTTTATTAAATTTAAAGTTCTTTATGGGAATAATTCATTTAGCAATTAAATATCTACATTATATCAATTTAAACATTGCTACTAAGTTCAGGTTGATTTTGAATCTCATATTCTTTATTTATTTGTGAGTTTTTCAGTATCTTTTCTTACTCTGGTCTTTTTAAGAACTTCAAGAGTTCTTAACAAATTATATTTTACTAAATGTTAACTATCAATTCTAATTTAAGTCTTTCGACTGATACACAGTTTCACTTGTGGATTCTGTGCCTATGTCGTTTTGTTATTAATAATAGTGCAACCACCCATGGCGACTGCTAGTTGTCAACAGAAATCACTCCTGCTTTCTTCCAGTAGCGACTAGAGGTGGTCGAGTTATCTATATCAGAGATAGTTGCATTTGCAATATTTTTCATGGAATTATCTATTAATCAGTATTAATATATTTATAAGGCAAGTTAAAGTATGCTTTTCTTAATTTTATCTTCACATTTGTAACCATCTAATTATATTTAAATAAAAGATCGATATTTTTATATAGATTGTTAACATAATTTTATTAATAATAAGACTTGGTAAATAAATTAAGCATAAATAAGTACATAAATAAAACTATAAAAACTATGAGAATTTAATATGACGGCATCGGAACTGTATTTGCATAGAATTGCAGGGCAAAATTAATGATTTTCATAAGATCCGCACTGACTTTGGCGCTGTTCTTTGCCATCATGTTGTTCACGGCGTCGATTGCATTTTTATCGCTGAACGCTCTCTCGAACACTCGGCCTCCTAGATCGACAGCAACTCTACCCTGTTTAAAAAGGAATAACAATAGCATTTCATTGGTAACGGTCATTTGATGAAAGTGAATTACTCCATTACTCCATACACAAGTGCAACGATAATATATCGAAATGACCCCACATACAATACGAGCAAATAAATTTCAATTGTGAATGTATTAAAAGTATTGTTGATTCGATAAATGATATCATAAAAAAAAAACGATAAATTTTAGTTACATTGCATTTAATTTTATTAACAAATACAGTTGGTGTGGTGAAAGTCAGAGAGCTGAGCATTTTTTTTTTAATTGAAGTAAAGCATTTATTTTAAGATTTTTTAGATTTTACCAGCTTACAGGGTCTACAACGTTTCGTCATGGAAATTCTTTATTTTTCTTTTCAGTAAAAGAAGAAATGGGTTGAGGCATGAAATTTTTTTTTCTATATTTGGAATCTGTGGATACGGCTCTATGACTATAATTTTCTTCCTAGTCTCGAAAAATCATTTTTGAGAGTGCTACACCGTTTTGAAAACCGCCGGAACCAAAACGGATTTTTGACCTTGAAGAGAGCACGTGACGTCACTATACTGTAGTGGATAATTAATACCTGCGGACACTGCAGTTGATGAAAGCTTATTACTGTTTCCGTAGTTATTGGAAATTACACTTAAATTTTCAAAATGTCGACTTCTAAAGCGAGCTATCGTTGACGTTGTATGCTTAATAATAATAGAAAGACCAGATTCAAAACGTGCCTAACAATAAAGATGGAATTCACCATGCTGTTCATTGAACGCTGTTTTATGTAAGTAAATTAGTCGATGTCCTGTCAAAGTGTGTATGGCACCGCGTGCTGATGAAAACTAAAGAGTTCGAAATTGCAATCCACGTCGTACAATTTCGACAGTTCACTAACTAAGATCTTAATGTTCTGTTAGATACACGATACCATCAAATCGAAAGGTTAAACACAATGAATTTAATAATAAGTGGCAAACTTCTCTGTAGAAATGGCGTTCGCCAGATCATCTGCAGTTATTTGTTTATACATTATTTCGATACTAATTGTAAAATAAAAACGAACATACCGTGATTGTTCCAAATTGTGGAAGAACGTTGAGAGAAGTCAACTGTTTTGTGGAATTGTTGTATGAGAACCTCCAGCTGATTGTGGTATTATCTACTGAAATTCTGAAAAATAGTGTAAATTTGACTTAAGGAATGGGTCAAGATGTAATTTTGTTACAGAAGTTCAAGTATTAAAAATAAAAGCTAATATAAACAAGCAAATTATAAGATGAGTAGATACCCAGAATAAAACTTTGTTTGACAATATTTATCTAAAACCTCATTTACGTTTATCCAAATTCAAAAATTTTGTACAAATTAATCTCGCCACTTGTAGATCTGGTATTGTGTTGATGTGCCAATGAAAACACCAGAAAGGTACGAAAAGTCATACAACAGTGATAAGAAACATACCTAAATTAAATGTTAATCTGTTGACGAACAAAATCACTGCGATTTATTTGCACAGGCATAGATATCCACTAGTATGACTTCTATTACCCGTTCATGAGTACGTGTACAAATTAAATTCTACATATATATTAAATATCGACTCGTAATAAATATGAACTTACTCGGTAAACCTCAGTCCGAAATTAACAATGAAAGCGTCGATTGCAACTTCGTTAATGGTAGCCGTCAATTTATTCATACTCAGAAGACCGAATGCGTCTCCAACGGCTTCGTTGACCGTCAGGTCTTCTAGAGATATGGAAGATTGTCCGGAAAGGGAAGCTGATCCAATGAAGACCTTTTGTCTAAAATAATTGTAAACAAAAGTTTTAATTATTTAAATATGTATATTAAAAGTCCATATTAGACTTATGGAAAGTGTAAATAAATTCATACTGTGTAACATATCTTATCACTTGATTATGGGAATGGGGAACTAATACAATTTCTTGCGACGGAAATGCGTTACGGGGAGTAGGGAGAGAGAGAGAAACGCGTGCTGTTCAATCTTTAATTGATGCTACCTAAAACTTAAAACTTTTGGGTGTTTCATTCCCACCAGCCATTAATACTGGTGGGCGGGCAGTCCCTCCGGAGTACGCCGGAAGGTAGGATGGAAGGCCCTCTTCAGCCTTTTTTCAGGAATCGTGGGAATGGGTGGGTGGTGGTCCGGGTGAGAAAGATGAGACGGACGAAATGAAAACAGAAGAGAATAAAAGATTGTCTGTGAAATATTACTGCCCCAGCATTTGCCTAAGTGATCCAAGGAACCACAGAAAAACATCCTCCCGAATGCTAAGCAATAATTTAAACCCCTAAGCTATGCCGCTTTGATGCTATCTATAGTTGACGTGTAAATGCCGTTTCACATGGAGCGGCTGGTGCGCGTTTGAACGCGTGCGTATAAATGTTATTTGATCGTCAATGGATTTCACAAAGCCTCGTTTGACTTATTGAGCAGCGAAATAGAATCTTGTTCCGTTGCCAATATCACCAAGACCTGTTCTTCTTACAGTTGGGAAAACTTTTCGTACATCTCTTTGGAAATTCACTAACTCGCTGCGTTGCCATCTTCTGTATGCATTAACTGAAGACAAACTAAAGGAACACGGCAACTCAACACCTTCTTTTGCTAACCGATGCAATGCTTCATGTGAATACACCCATAAAAATTGATGGTCCGCCGGCTCGGGTTCCAAATGGGACGAAACTCATACCTACATAGCACATATGTGAATAGATCTATCCATCCCTCAATAATCCATAACATTCCGTTGGAAAGCGTGCGTTTTATGCGTGTCCATTTGTAAGGGCATTAAAGAAACAAGGAGAAAAAAGGAGATGATAGAGAATGAAGATGCGACACAGCTATTAACCGCTCAGTCTGTTATCGTGCTCTAACTCCTAACCTTGAATAACACGACGCAACGCACTGTCCGAAGCAAATTGTGAATTATGTAAGTGTTGTGCTAAAATAAAATTTTCATAGAAAAGGCTTTTATTTTCTTATTTATATTTTATCATAGTATTATGGTGAAACACATTTTTTGCAACACGAACATTTTTTTAAAAGGAATATAAAGATTTATTACCCTAAAATTTCTAC